TCTCTCTCTCTGTGTGTGTGTGTGTGTGTGTGTGTGTGTGTGTGTACACACATCCCTGGAAAAATAAAAAATAAAATCAGCGCATCTGACCCGCATCACCAATTTGCGCACGGTGCATGGCGCACCGCAGAAGTGCGCCGCAAGTATGCTTTTTCTAGTTTAATTCAAAGTTTTTTGTTTTGTTGTTTGTATTGCGATTTTGCACAACATAATATGCAGGGGGGGTGTTGTTGATGGGTAAAAAACGGGTTTAGGGGGGGTTAGAGGTCGTCTGTATCTGGACGTCCTTTTCTATTTTAGTTCAAAGTTTTTTTTTTTTTTTGTATTGCGATTTTGCACATCATAATATGCAAGGGGGGGGATGTTGAGGGGTAAGAAATGGGTTTTGGGGGGTTTAGAGGTCTGTATCTGGACGTCCTTTTCTATTTTAGTTCAATTTTTTTTAATTTTTTTTTTGTGCGTGTGTATTGCAATTTTAGACAACATAATATGCTGTTGGATACTGGTCTAATTTTCAGCTTTTGACGAATTGCGTGCTGGGACTGCTCAGCCATCCTGCCTGGGCCTTGCCCAGGTGGGATCAGGGGGAATCCCTGGTGTCTCAGGCCACCCAGATTGTAACGTAGCAAAAGACGATCGAGAAAGGGCTGGGACTACGTATCAATCCTCTCTCTGATTAACATATCTTACAGTCCTGTCTTTTTCTCCTTCTTCTTCCTCCTTTTGTCTGTGTTTTCTTTGGCCGACGGTTTAGTCTCAGCGAACTGAATGATGAAGCCTTTCTTCCTCACCAGAAAGCCTTCAGGGTGGTGGCTACCGTCTTCACCCGGAATATAAAACGCCCGGTCATTATCACTGTATCTGGACCACAACTTGGCCCAAATGCACAGCTATAATGACCGTGCGTTCTATTCGGGTGAAGACGGTTGTTATCGACAAGCAGTGAGATTTTTCGATTCCCCCTGTCCCAGAGATGCAGTTTGCTGTTATGCCCCCGCTGTTGTTTTCTCTTACCTGAGTTACCTCCATTTTTACGACTGGCTTTCCTCACTGTGATCCCCAGTTCTGATTTCTGTGCCACTTCCTTTCTTCTTCTTTCTTTTTCTTTCTTCTTCTTTCTTCTTCTTTCTACTGACCTCTTGCTTTTTTTTTTTTTTCCTTCGAATCTTTGTAGTAAGTTTGTAGTACTTTGTATCATACTTGCGGCGCATTAGTGTGGTGCGCTGCGCCGTGCGGAATG